ATGAAATGAAGGCTTGCTTGTTTTAGTTTCACTTGAGAAATTTTGTTTTCTATATGCTTTTTCCAGGTAAGTCTTCCATCTAGTGTCATCCCAAGGTATTTGACACTCTCTTTTTGTGGTATAGCCTTGCTGTTTATTTTTAGTGGTGGGCAAGTTTCTTTCTTCAGAGTAAATGTAGTCTGAACACACTTGCTTTCGTTAACCGTTATCCTCCAATAACCTAGCCATAGCTCTAACTTTTTCAAATATTCTTGCAGCTTGTAAGAAGCCTCTTTAGGGTCTGAACTATTGCTTAGGATAGCTGTGTCATCAGCAAACGTTGAAATGGTTAGACTATCATCAGTTGGCAAATCACGAGTGTATATTACGTACAATATGGGTCCCAGAACACTGCCTTGAGGGACACCTGCATATATTGGGTGACTTTCCGTTCTAAAGGAATTCTGTCTGACTTTGAAGTTTCTCCCCAGCAGAAAGCTTTCGAGAATTGCATGCGTATTTGCAGGGAGTGAAACCTTTAGTTTGTATATAAGGCCATCATGCCAGACTTTGTCAAAAGCTTGAGAGATGTCCAAAAATACACCGGTGCAGTATTGCTTCCCTTCGAAGGCTTTTCTAATACAAGAAACAATTCTATTAACTTGTTCTACATTGCCATGTTTTTCACGAAAACCAAACTGATGTGGTGGTATTATCTTGTGAAAGATGACAGGCGAAAGCGTTTGCTTTATGCTCATCATTCCTCTCCCAGCTTCCGTTCTGAGTACGTAATGGTGCTTCTCGAAGAACGGGCCTCTTCGCATGCTTCAGTGTTCGCCAAAGGAAGTAGTCAGTCTGTTTCGAAGCAGCCAAGGACTCAAGGATCGACTGCGTACTTCTTTCTTTTTCCTCCTGCAACAAAATACGTAATTCCTTTGTACACGCACTCAGCTCCTGTTTAAGCTTAGGGGAGCGATTTCTTTGCCATTCCCTTCTTAATTTGCGCTTTTTACTTATAAAGTTAAGAATGTTTGGGGTATGCAGACCAGGGCGGTAAGAACTGCGATGTTTAAAAGAAGGATTTGGAGTTGCAATTTCTGCGGCCTTAACTATTATATCAGTGAGATTTTCAGCTGAATCGACATCATTCTTGGTCCGAATAGGAATTTGCGGGTCAATGTGCGAACTGACATACTTGTTGTATTTTAACCAGTTTGTGTGCTTATTTGTAAGATCTTTCATAATTAATAAACATTGATAATGTTATGAGGCAGGGTGAATGATCTGAAGAGAGATCAAATAATGGGCCGTATGAATAAAAATAAGCAATTGCTTTTTCTTAAAATTTCAGACCTCTTACTCTATTTATTCAAACAAAAGTGAAGTAACAGGTATGAAATTTTAAGAAAAAGCAATTGCTCAGTTTTTATTCATACGGCCCAATGCTTCAGTATTAACTCGGTGTCGTGCAATACCCTTTGTTACACCAAAGTCAATAAGATCGGGTATTTTTTGGGGGTCAGATGGCCAATACGTTGGCTGACCAGTAGACAAGACGTCAAATACTCTGTTCTGGATTATTTTATATAGATTTCCACCCTTGGGTGTAATCAATCTAGATCCCCAGAATGTGTGTTTGGCATTGTAATCTCCTGCTACAATAAACTTGCTGCCAAACTTTAGGAAAAAGTTATTGAATTGTTTTCCTGTTATGTTATGGCGAGGGGAGGCAGTATATAGCAGATACAATACTATGTATATTCATAACTTACAAAATTCGAAACGCTGAGTGTTTTGTATGTGAAGTAAAATATTCAAATCTAATGTACTCTGTTTGGCTAGAAGTTTGAATGAATTCATGCAGCCCTCTAGAATGAACTCATCACTTTGCGATTCTAATTCATAGTGCTGTATCCTGTTACGAATGAGAATAGCTGTTTCACCTCGGGCTTTACCTTGTAGATGCTTAGTTAGGTCTGCCAGATATCTCCGTTGGCAAACCGGGACACTTTGGAAAATCTAACACCACAACCGCCCCTCCCTTTCCTTTCCTTTAGACAAAAACTACTGACGTACGAAAGTATGTAGTAAAATTTTATTTTGGCAAGACAAAAACAAAACCATATAAAGATGAGATCGTTTCAACGTACTAAAGCTCAAAATAAACATATAGTGCCGCCCAAAATTATTGGCGCAAGGCATTAAAAATTTTTTTGTTTTTTATAGATACATATACCGTTTATACTATATCAAAAAAACAAAAACAGAATTTCTAGACTTCGTGCGAAACTCGGGAAAATTCTATAAATTTGCATACGAATTTGCAACTTTCTAATCAGACTTTTTATAAAAATTTTAAAAAGAAGTTTTGTGGCCCAACAATTTTAGTTAATTTTTGATAATTTTTTGCTGACAGCTTCTTCCATACAAACTATGTTTGGCAATTCTTTTTGTATGAAAAAAATTTAGGTACAAGATAACATAAAAAATCAGTCATATTTTTCGTTGTTGTGAACTTGTTTCAAAACTTCTAACTTTTCCTTAATATAATTTTAAAACTCTGTGCACGTCATTTAACGCACATATGTACTTATATTGAGCAAATTTCTTTCCTTAGTCTATAGAGATGAAATAAGAAAAAAACATTGATCCACATTAGGTGTATTAAACAAGGTACTATAACTTCAAAAAATATAAACAAATGACGCACTCTTCTGTGTAAGCGGAAAGGAATTTATACTCTTTGGCATTTTCTAAGGGTAATCAAAACACTATAAACACACATCTTTATATCGATGGCTGAGTGGAAGATCGACCTATCTCGGCAGCCAGTTCGAAAACATTCTATCTCAAAAAACTTTTCTAGAACGCCCTATTTCAGAATTCGTTTCAAAAACGCCCTATCTCAGCTGCCGATTCAAAAACGCCCTATAACAGCATCTTTTCAATACATTTTGAAGTGAGATAGGGCATTTTTGAACCGAATTTTGAGATAGGGTGTTTTTCAATAAAATTCTGAAACAGGGCGGTCTTGAAAAGTTTTTTGAAATAGAGCGTTTTCGAACTGGCAGCCGAGATAGGTCGATCTTCCACTCAGCCATCGATATTCTATAAACTTTGTCGCGAAAACTTACATTGGAATTAAAGCCCGCTCGAAAAACAAACGAGCAAAACAAATAAAAAACAGCTGATGCTAATTAGGAAGGGCACTTTTCATTTACAGGTATGTATGTGGCTATATCGATCATCAAATATTGCTTGTGCAAAGTCCAACTATCTGGAGATGTAACTATATCACAAATGACACCGGTAGTGATTTTTGAACTTTTATTAAATTTGTGCATATAAATCGAAAACCGGGACACTTAAACGAAACCCGGGACATTTTAAGGTTGGACCGGGACACCGGGACAAATAGTCTAAAACCGGGATATGTCTAGTATCATAGAATTTGTGCCCATTAATTTGAAAGTTATTAAATTACGTAAGAAGGGTTTCAGATACAAGCAAAACGTCTATATGATGTCGCTTTAGAAAAATGTATAGTTCATTTCTATGCTGGGTTATCCCGTTCGCATTCCAAAAACAAATTCTGAGATTATTCATGGTTTAGCTAAAATGGCTTGAAGTTATAGATTTCAATTTTTAATCAANTCCTATGCTTAGTATCATAGAATTTGTGCCCATTAATTTGAAAGTTATTAAATTACGTAAGAAGGGTTTCAGATACAAGCAAAACGTCTATATGATGTCGCTTTAGAAAAATGTATAGTTCATTTCTATGCTGGGTTATCCCGTTCGCATTCCAAAAACAAATTCTGAGATTATTCATGGTTTAGCTAAAATGGCTTGAAGTTATAGATTTCAATTTTTAATCAAATCTTGTACCATGCTCTGCATTGCCATCATTTGCTCTTGCATAACTTTCATAAAGTTGTTTATAGTAGCTTCTAGGTTACTACTATTCTGACCAAAAAGAGGTTGTGTGGGAGGAGTATTTTAAGCATTTGTGCTTATGAAGTAAAGTTATTAACAGTCATTGGCGCAGACATTAGCTTAGCGGGCTCTGGTATGGGGTTACGCCTAATAGGAATATTTTTGGGAACTATTTTCTCTTTCATTGAGATATAAACTGGACAACCTCTATAGTTAGCAGTGTGATTTCCACCACAGTTACTGCACTATAGTAGGGCTGCCCCAGACGTCCGTGTTTTTCCAGGATTTATCCTGATTTAAAAAAATTGCCCTGGTGTCCTGGTCCTCAATGCAGACGAAAATTTGTAATGATAAACTCTTCAGTTATAGATTCTGGGTCTAGTGTTTCTAAAACTTTTTCAAACTACGAATTTATTTTTCTTTGTTGGTTATTACTTTTGATAAGTTGGTTGAGTCCTGACTTTATTTCTATTAGGTCATCGTGCTCCGGTGTTCCTGTTATAAATTTAAAACTGAGCCTAAAAAGTTGAGNACTTATCTAATTTTTAGCAGATTTTTCCTTGAAAAAAGCATTAGTAGTCGAAAATTTGTAATGATAAACTCTTCAGTTATAGATTCTGGGTCTAGTGTTTCTAAAACTTTTTCAAACTACGAATTTATTTTTCTTTGTTGGTTATTACTTTTGATAAGTTGGTTGAGTCCTGACTTTATTTCTATTAGGTCATCGTGCTCCGGTGTTCCTGTTATAAATTTAAAACTGAGCCTAAAAAGTTGAGGGCACGTTTTGCACGATGCTCGGATGGTAGTAGTTGATTTTTAAGTACTTCTATTTTATTTATGAGTATATCTTCTTTTTGGGATTGGGATGTACTATATTGAGATCTTATTAGCTACGAATACGAATGTCCGCTACGAATCGGAGCAATTTGCTATCACGGAATCCATGTGAACTCGAAAAAAGTGCTGCCAAACCAAAATTCTGAATTTGACGTTTCGAAATCAACTGGCTCGTAGTAAATAAACAAAATAGAAGACAAAAAACTAAAATCTTATATTCTTTATTGAAATTTTCAAATATAAGTACTATGGATTCACTGGCATTTGGAATTATGCTGACGAAGGAGGAACGTGAGAGAAACAAATAGGACCTTAGAATTCAGCGAAAGTCATTGAGGGACGTAAGCAACCCTCTCGATGTCGAAGAAAGAATGTATGTATATTGGAAACTACATAACTTCATAGTTAAATTGAAAATATTTTTCAAACGCAGGTTTATTAAAAATTACCGCTTAAATAAAGCGACCTTTTTGTACGTCCTGAGTGTTCTAGAGGGGAGTGCAAGCTCACAAAGGTCGGCGTCTATTTCTTTACTCCGTCGCTTATCTTCCGTCTTACGTTTTTTTGCGGAGGGAGGTTATCAGCACGGAGTGGGTAAAGACTTTGATATTCCAATGGCTCAGTCCACATTTTGGTGCGTCTTAAAAGACTTATTAGCATCACTTCAAACCCATCTATGCCCTCAGTGGGTGAACCTCGACTTAAGCAACGATGAATAAAGACTAGCCAAGGTATACTTTTACCAGAAATGGATTTCCTGGCGCGATTTTGTGTGTAGACGGGGCACACATTAAAATTGTTGCTCCAATTAAAGAAAAGTTTCTCTATTTTAACCGCAAAGGTTACTACAGCATCAATGCCATGATCGTAGGTTTTGAGAAGAATCTACATACTTACAAATGCATACTTCAAATTTCTTATTTAATTTGTTTGCAGATATGCGACAGTAAAATGAGAATACGCTACGTGAATGCGCAGTATTCTGGCAGCAACCATGATTCTCATATATGGAATGTCAGCAATGCGCGATATTTTTTTAAGAAGAAGTACCTAGATGGTGAACGAAACACATGGCTTTTGGGTATATACACACATATATACGTCCAATTTTAGTGAATTTTTGTCAAAATAAAATGGTTTAGTCTTTCCATAGGAGACGCTGGATACGCCCTAGAGCCATGGCTAATGACACCCTTCCGATCACCTCCATCGGTAAGTCCTGAAGGTAACTACAATAAAGTGCATGCGAAGGCTAGAAATATTGTAGAAAGGACCATTGGTGTATTTAAAAACCGATTTAGATGCCTTCTGGGTGCTCGTGAGCTTCATTATGAACCCTCGAAAGTATGTCAAATAGTTAACGTTGCTGCAGCGTTACACAAAATTTGCATTCACTATCGCGTGAATGACGATATTTCAGAAAATGTTGAACAGTATACTAACGAAAACCATGAGCTTTCTTTATCAAGTTATAATGATGCGGCTTCACAGATAAGACAATCTATATCTAGAACACTAACACGAATATACAGCCCTGTTCTGCAATCCGATTCGAATCGGAATCGGATTTGTTTCCGATTGTTGGTGTTCTGCATTCCGACAATCGGAAATTATTTCCGATCCCGCCTTGTTCTACATTTCGATCCACTTCGAATCGGAATTCTATCGGAAATTTGATGTTCTGCAATCCGATTATCGGAAATTTTTTATCGGAAATGTTCCGATCAGCTAAAAGCCAGTGGAATAGAAAATAATCAAAACGAGAAGGAAAAATATAACTGTTAACGGTCGAAGGAAAAATTTTATAGTCAGCGAACAGCAAAGAATTTAAGTAGAGAAAATAAAAGTGGTAATTACTACAATTAAAATTATTAAAATGCAGGGGAAAGCACAAGACGGCGGAGCGAAGCAAAAATATGTTGGATTTCATGGAAGTAAATCCAGACATAGCCAAAGGCTTCTTCAAAGGAGACAAAGTGGCTCTTGAGGTCTTAAAATGTTTAGTTTTTTGTGAAAATTGTTTATTTATAATTATAGTACTGGTTTTTATTAAATATACTTGTTTTTATTAAAATATTATATAATATTATTCGCAATTTCGTCTCTAATTCTTTGTGATTCACTTTGCAAGTTAATGTCTGTTAGTACAAATCTATCTACTTCACTATCTACTTCGCTGGCGTTTTCTTCAGGTTCATCATAGTCATATTCAAGATTATAGTGGCGACAAATATTATGCAAGGCAACACATACATTCATTATTTTCGCAACCTTATTTGGTTTGTACTGCAAGGTTCCTAACAAACAACGAAAACGAGTTTTAAGAACCCCAATTGTTCGTTCAACTACATTACGTGTCGAAGAATGTGTTTTGTTAAACGCGTGTTGTATAGACCGTGGTTCTGGTTTTCTATATGGCGTTAATAGAAAAGGTTCCAGAGCATACCCGGCATCGCCCAATAACCACGATTTGTTTTCACCATCTCGATACTTCGTCATGACTAACTGTCTTGCATTGCTCATGCTCCATATAAAGGAGTCATGGCTAGAACCGGGATGACAAGCATCAATAGCTCTAATAACCACATTATGATCGCAAATTTGAAATAAATAAGAAACAAATTTTACGAAAATTTTAAATTTTAAATTTAATTTACTGCATTTCTTGCAGTAGTTAATATATATATCAAAAGATAGAGCATTAAAATACCTACCAGAATTATAGATTTAAAAGTAATTTAAAATGTATAATATGCGTATTTTACAAGCTCACACTCAACTGTGTGCGTACCCAAAGCGACCCTGCAAAAAATTGTGCGACTAATCTCTAAAGGGAGCAACTAGTCTCATACGGGTAGAGATCAATTAGTCGATAACTGGAGATCAATTATTCCCCGACTCCTCTTTAACGGGTGCTTTTAACGTTTTAATGACATGTACGCACTTAGTCAATGAAATTTCATGTGCTTCATTGGCACAGGGAGAGAGTATTCGCTCAACAAAACTGAGAACCCCGGTTCGAATCGCAGCTGGTGCAAATTTTCATTATTTAAAAGTTACTAGTCGCTTTTTATGCCCGTTCGGGCACAAAAGGAAACAATTAGTCTCTTCATAGGACATGCTCGACCAGAAGCGAACAGTTCATTCCATATAAGGAGATCAAAAGTGGTATTATTCGCAAGTTACTTTGCGATTGCTCCCGAAGTCATCCCGGAGTAGTCGCATTTTTTGCAGGGAAGAATTACCACTAATGTATGTACATACGACAAACACATCATTTTATTTATTTATTCGTTTTAATCTAGAAAAGTGTAACAATTCTTACAGATTACAAAGAAAAAAATTAGAGAGCACTTAAGACTAATTAAATATTTCATTTAATAATATTTTAAAATAGTATTTTGTGTAAGAAAAGTCAAAAAATTGAGAGTTGAAAGCGAATTAGATTCTCTCAAAGTTCTCAGAATCGGAGCATTACAAGCATAATATTGATATTAATTTTTGCGAGTAGAGATGGGGAGTCGATCATCCCATTTATTAGATCATAAACGAAAGTGAGAGAGAGAATAGTCCTTCTACTTTCCAACGATTTTAGGTTAATGAGCATGCACCGACCTCTGTAAGATGGAATTGGCTCAGAAAATTTCAGAGAACGTAAAGCATAGCGGATAAAGACTTTTTGGACACGCTCGAGCCTACTAATGTGACATGCATAATATGGTCTCCATATAAAAGCAGCAAATTCTAGCTTAGAATGCACAAGCGAATTATATAACACCTTTAGAGTATAGGGATCAGTAAAGTCTGAGCTGAAACGTCGAATAAAAGCTAGTACAGCATACGACTTTGCAATACTGTAATTTAAATGACTTTGAAAGGAGAATCTAGAGCAGTGACCGCCAAACACTTTCCTGGGAAACGAACTATATTCGGCCTTTCACACGTACACAATCCGAAGCTCAACAGAAAGAGTAGCAGAGCAACAAATTTTATTTAGTTGCATGCAAACAATAGGCGAAGCAGGTTGATGACGCATTTCCGTGCATTACCACCAACACATTCTCATNACTGCGCTGCGGAATATTGATATTAATTTTTGCGAGTAGAATGGGGAGTCGATCATCCCATTTATTAGATCATAAACGAAAGTGAGAGAGAGAATAGTCCTTCTACTTTCCAACGATTTTAGGTTAATGAGCATGCACCGACCTCTGTAAGATGGAATTGGCTCAGAAAATTTCAGAGAACGTAAAGCATAGCGGATAAAGACTTTTTGGACACGCTCGAGCCTACTAATGTGACATGCATAATATGGTCTCCATATAAAAGCAGCAAATTCTAGCTTAGAATGCACAAGCGAATTATATAACACCTTTAGAGTATAGGGATCAGTAAAGTCTGAGCTGAAACGTCGAATAAAAGCTAGTACAGCATACGACTTTGCAATACTGTAATTTAAATGACTTTGAAAGGAGAATCTAGAGCAGTGACCGCCAAACACTTTCCTGGGAAACGAACTATATTCGGCCTTTCACACGTACACAATCCGAAGCTCAACAGAAAGAGTAGCAGAGCAACAAATTTTATTTAGTTGCATGCAAACAATAGGCGAAGCAGGTTGATGACGCATTTCCGTGCATTACCACCAACACATTCTCATTTTTTATTTCATAACTAATACATTCTCATTTTAAGACTTCTCTTTTTGGCGGACACTGATCTAGAGTCGAAAACCACCCCAAGATCAATAATTTCACTCGGATTGGATTACCTAAAGCCATCAATGTGATAGGAGGTAGGAATAGAAGAACGAGATTTAGAATAAGAGATATGGAAGCGCTTGCTTATATTTAATCTTAACTTATTTATTTTGCACCAAGCATCGACGTTATCAGACTGAAGATTTACAGAGTCCGAATAACTCGCAATCGCTGAGTATATCTTTATATCATCAGCATACAAAAGAAGCAACTAGAAATGTCATTAACAAAAATTATAAAGAGTAGAGGACCCAGTATACTTCCACACCAGGAACACCAGAGGACGCAATGAAAGGGGCTGATGACACACTATCAACATTAACAACAAATTTCCGAGAGGAGAGATAGGATTTAAACCATTTTAAAAGGGTGGAATGAAATCCTAAAGCCCTCAATTTGGAAATTAAAATTGTGTGGCTAACATTGTCAAATGCTTTTGAGAAGTCTGTGTACACAGCATATACTTGAACACGGTTTAGGAAAGCAGACATACAATATTCAGCAAACACTGCAAGGTTGCAGACAGTTGATCTACCTTTCATGAAACCATGCTGATCAACGGAGATTAGGCGATAAACTGAAAAATAAATTTTTTCTTTCACAATAAGTTCAACTAATTTTGAGACCGTGGATAATTTAGAAGTTGGTCTATAATTGGTAATGTTATTCTTACTGCCACTTTTAAATACTGGATTTATTTAGTTACTTTCCCGGCATCTATGAAATCACCTCGTTCAAGTGATTTTTTGAACATTAAAAAAACTGGACAGGCAAGTGCAGAGCAATTTTTAAAAATATACGAAGATAGCCCATTTACATCAGCTTTTGTGGATGCTTGGAGTTGCCGTATTCCATCTTCAACCTCAGCCAGCGTTAAGGTTAGCGAACCAAGATTGACTGGGGAATTTATATCGAGTTCAATTTCACAAGCCAAATTCGCATCAACTTCAAAGTTAGAAGTTAGATTGGCTGCTTCTAGAGAAGATTGTGCTTGAGTTTCGTTGTAGTAGACAACAGAAGGAATACTTGAACATGATTTCCTTGATTTGACATATCGCCAGAAAGAACTAGGACTTGACTTTATGTCCGACTCGAACTTAAGAATATAATTTCGCTTTAAATTCCTTTCCAAAGATTTGAGTTCCTTTGAATTATACAAATATTTATCTTTATGAGCAACGGAATTAGATAGCTTAAACTTTTTAAAATATTTGTTTCTAAAGTTTTTAAGTTTTCGCAGCTCCTTAGTGTGCCATGGTATTCTATAACTAGTCTTTTTAAGCGCAGTTATTTTTTCTTTACAGATTTCACTTATCTCATGCTTAAAAACATGATAACAACTGGCAACTTCAACCCCGGCAAATAAGAAATCCCAATCTAGACTGGCAACTGCTGCGTTAACTATTTCAAAATCAAAATTTCTATAGCAAGAGCGAGCAACTTCATTATCAGAACAAATCACATTAAACTCGTAGAATTCCAAATTAAGGACAAGCGGTACATGGTATAGGCCAGGAGTAGACAGAGGGTCTAGGCATTCACGCATGAAAAAATTCAAATCATCATTGATGAAAATCAAGTCTAAAATTCGAGAAAGGCTATTTGAGAAATTATTAATCTGAACAAGTCTACAACTTAAAAAATTATCAATCAAATGAGTTATATATATTTCCATAATTAGATGCTAAGCCTACAACATTTTCCACGTGCGCTTTATACAGTGTATCATTACTTGACGGAGGAATATAGGACGCACAAAGCAAGAGACTTGAAACGCCCTTCACGGATACACACAGCTGGTCCAGGAGTGTGTCCGTATTCATCAAAGTCACAAGCGATGAGCAGTACTTCCGTTGAACGGCAATTAGGACCCCTCCACCTCTGGTGAGACCTGTTTTCATAACATCTCGATCTTTTCGAAATACATTGTATAAGTTGGGATCAAAAAATTCATTGGCAAAGAAGCTATCATTTAGCCTTGTCTCAATGAGAATAAAAATATCATAGTCCATACGCGAACTCACCACTAAAAGTTGCTTAGATTTAGTTCTTAGCCCAGAAACATTTTGAAAACATATTTTTAGATTTTTCGGAGCTTTATTGAGTGCGGTATTAGTTATGATTGATGCGGTGGTGCATCGTCTTTGTGAAAAAAAACGCAAAAGGCCGAATTTTTACACTCTCGGGCTAGATATCTGCATTGAGCAACTTGTCATAAAAACAATCCGATACACCCAATTTAAAATTAATCTTTTTAAGTTCACTTAAATCAGAATATTTTTTAACCAGTGTATAGCATACCAAAGACTTACGGCCGCACTCAGAAACGTTCATTAAATTAGCTCTAACGGGCACTTAACTAATGATCGTTAAATCTGTTAATTAATGTTTCCTCTCAGAGTCATTTTTTAATGATTCATTAGTTAATGAAAACTTTAAGGGCTTGTCAATTTCTTCCCTCTTTTTCTTTAGCAACACTCACTTCAAATTGACAAAAAATTAAATATTTGAAGTTAGATTATATTGTGCTTTCATACGAAATACGTATTTCATTGTTTTTCTATCAGCACCAAGGCAAGAAAGCATACATAATATAATAATTATATTATAATGGTAAGTATCGGTGTAGAAGTAAAGCAAGATCGTAGTTTAGGCCTTCCTCCTATTAATTTGTACTCGCTGCATTCATTTTTAATCAGATCACCAGTATTAAGTGTGTATAGATCGCGCTTCCTTATAAACTCCAATGATGCGAGGTTAGCGAAATTCTTAAAAATCCCTGGTGCTGTACGGACTCCATAGAAAAAACTTGGTTCTTTGTATTGTGTGATTGATTCCGAGTTTCTTTTGTAATAATTTAACAATGCATAGTTTACATATGAATGAATGTATGTGTTTTAGAATTAATATGGTTTATATTAAGTCCTGGACGTGTCTCGGCTTATTTATGACCACTTTTATGTCCATTGCTGCACTACTTAGTACCCAGCCTGCAAAGAAAAGTCCGTGCTGAGAGATAGTATTGGGCAACGCTCTCCAGAATAGTGCAGGCAATCAATTATTAGCTAGCACAATTGTGATGAGAAGCGTTTTTGTCTATTTTGAGAGTGGCTCACACTCGAAGATGTGATCTGGTCAGTTAGGGCTACCAGAAGTGTGGTGGGTTTTGTACATCCCCAAAGAATTGTATGTAATAACTCTTCGAAACACATTTGAAAACTGCAATACAGTCGTTTTAGGAATGCGATTTTACAAGTCAAGCTACAATGCAATTGTTTCTTGGAAGCGACAAGTTAAAAGGTTCTTGCACAAACTATAGTAAAGCTAAAGCTTGTCCATGTTACCACATTCAAGAACTGCAATACCTGCTCTTAATTCACCCAGGAAATTTCTATGTACGTATACAAATGTTTGTTTTAATTTAGGAAGAAGCAAAAGTAAATCGAAAGCGTGTATCAAATTTCACTGCCGATGAAAAGGCTATATTAGGGCAACTAATAAAGAAGCGGCCTATTATAGAATCGAAGCATACGGATGGAAAATCAATTTTGAGAAAGAAAGAAGCTTGGGATTTGCTTACGAATGAGTTCAATTCAAATTCGAATGTCTACAAGGTAAAATTATATGCGTTTTAAGGCGGGTTGTATGGAACGAATGGAACAGATTCGGATTCTAGATAAATTTCTAAGAAAAAATTCCATTAGAGCATAGCTCTGGATTTCGAGCCCGCCAAACTTGAAAAAGCTATCTTCAATTAATGCTACGTTAAGACATAAGTAAGTATTAAAAATATGACCTTCATAACACTCCCGCTAATATTAAGTGTAGACATTAACTTAGTATTAATTAAAGATAGGTTATTTTAAAATTTTGGGGGGCTCAAAATTTGGAGCTATAATGGAATTTTTTCTTTGGTATTTAATGTAGAATACGAATGTGCTAGGAACGATGTCGAAAAAATACCCGACCTAATGCATTTATTCAATTTATTATACGCCTTAAGGTAGCGTCAAACAGATGCGGTAAAAAATTTTACGATATGCGATCAATACAAACCACTGCGGTATAGCACCGCAGTGTGTCGTATCTCACCTGTTTGAGAGCGTTTGCTTTTTATCGTTATCGCAAAAAATACGATATCGTATCGCACCGGTATTATCGCATCTGCTTGAGGCCACCTTTAGTATTTCGTGTTTCCATATTGTTTATTTCAGCGTGAGACGGTTACATTAAGGAGGGCGTGGGAAAATATGAAGGCAGTCGCACGAAAGGCTCGGGCAGTAGAAAGGGGTAATTTATTTCGAACGGGCGGTGGGCCACCGGTGCCATCAACATCACGGCAAGTAGAAGCAATAGTGGACATGGTGGAAGAGGTATGTATCCTTACAGCGCTCTTACACGATATTTATTTGCTTATCGTTATCTTAATATAGAAAGGCCCTATCTCTCATCGTCGCTGAAATACAAAAAAAAAATCGTAACTAGCTAAAAATCCTAAATTCACCTATTGATTGATTTTGAGCATTATGTGAAATAGAGCCTTTCTATATTAAAGTAACGATATACATATATGTAAATGCTACTTTACTTACGAGTACATACAAAAAAAAAACGTTTACATATCGATGGTCCTGTGCAATAACGACACAAATTAAAATTCGAAAAATAAAAACTGTTACTACTGTTAAGTGATTATTGTCTCTAATCCTTGTCTAATCCATTTCCATCCCTTACTAAAGTAAGCAGTAAGGATTGTTAAAGTAAGTACAAAAGATGAGACATGGATTCGACAAGGATTAAATACATGAGTCACTTAACAGTAGTAACAGTTTTTATATTTTTTTGAATTTTGAATTGTGTCGTTGTTGTACAGGACCATCGATATGTAAATACATTCATATCGTATAAGTGCGCTGTTAGGGACTTAACTATTATCTTCATACTGTCTTGTCGTCATAAAATTTAATTATTAGGCTGCTCCCGCAATGATTTGCGAAATCTCCAACAACTTTGACAGCGATGGGGCAATTTTGCTAAACATGGAAAATAGCCAATCTAGCTCCATTGAGTTTTTAGGTATGTCCTTTAAGATATAAGGCAAATCACTTTTTAACCAACATTTTTTAGATATGATCACGGAAGCAAATGAGGAATCCGACGTAAACTTCAAAGCCATAAGCATAAATTATGAAGGTGAACCAAATGTTGCAGGTACTGTACCTATAAAATACGAAAGAAGTCATCTACGATATACTAAAATTCTTTTCGCTGCTTTTTAACTACATAGTACACAGTAATGAAACTGGCCACCAACAAAAAGTGGAAAAGGAGCAAGTACGCAGACCAAGCGACTACGTTCGGCGGGAGGCAGCATTACGGGTAAGGTACCTAGAGAAGAGAGAGAAGCTTAAGCTTGAATTAGTCAAAACACAGGTATATAATAACTATGCATTGGTAAAGCTAAATATTTGTATATGCATATTTTCTTTTACAGTTGGAAGTTGAGCAAATAAAAAAAAGAGCAGCCTTGTTGGAAGAGCAAAAAAACCAAGTATTACTACAAAAGGCTAAAATAGATTTTGAAGAGGCAAAAAAAAATCGTTCAATAAATTAAAGACATAGTTAATATTTCAACATCTAAAGACTTTTATTTGTAGCAAAAGATCTTAGGAAAAAAATCTGTCTACCAGAGATTGACGCGCAATAAAACCGTTGCTGTTGGAGTTTTCATTGATTGGTGAGGCTTCGACATTAAAAGTTTCGATGTTATCAGAGCTGACTGGTAGCAAGTCATCTACTAAGATGGAAATGTTATGCAATGCTGCACATGCGCATATAACAGCTACAACGGTCTCCAGCTTAATACCCATTCCAACGTGAAGGCAGGGGAATCTTCGCTTCCAAACTCCAAAACATCTTTCCACAGTGTTTCTTGTTTTAATGTGGCTTTTATTGTACTCCTTTTGTGGAGTTGAGCTTGGTGATAAAAACGGAGTTAAAAGCAAATTACTGACAGCATATCCACTGTCACCTAAGAGTATTCCTTTTAATTCCCCGCTATTGAATCTTTGCTTAACCGAACTGCTGTTATATATAAAGCTATCGTGCGTACTCCCAGGCCAACGAACTACTAAATCAAAAAATTCCAAGTTTGGACCAGTGACTGCTTGTACATTGATAGAGAACCACCCTTTCCTATTTCTGTATACCTCAGCAGATAATCCTCCTGGGCTTCTTATTTTAATATGTGTGCAATCTACGCACGCAATTACTCCAGGAAAATGAGCCAATTCATAAAACTGTTGCCTACAAATAAAAATGTGCAACAATAATTAAGCATTTTTATACATAGTATGTAAAAATACTTATTATGTATTAACGAAATTCAGAATACAAAATATGGCCCTACTTTACTCTATTAAATTCTTCTGCAGTAGATGGAAATTTAACGAGGTCTTTGGTTTTTCGCGCTATTGAAGTAGAGACTTGAAAAATTATTCGCGAAACTGACTGTTGACATATGTTCATCACATCTCCATCCAGTTTCTGTAATTGAAATGGATAGTCATATGTTATCGTTCATTAGATCCAAAAGTTGAGGCATTGGAAATTCACACGTTTATTTCCATATGTATGTTGGTATAACTTATTAAAGAACGTCGAAGTTCCAAGATAAATAATAATTTATATAATTTAATTAATTTTTTTAATTTATTTATATATGATATGCTAAAAATATATGTATGTATATGTACATATGTATATAGTTTCAGCTGTTTCTTGAAATAGTTATATGCATACATCCATCCTTGGAAAATAATACATATAATATGGAGACAGATTCAAATGTTATCTTCTCGTAAATAATTGTATCAATACCAACCTGAAAACTGCCAGTGGCATAATATCGAAGTGTTACCAATAACATTATTTCCGGGTGAAATGGTAATCCTCTTCTGGTTGGCTTATCCAACTCAGAAGACACCAAAGGCAAAATAACATTCTTAATAGTTTCAGGCGTAAATCTATATCGTGCATGGAATTCCCGATTTGAGTACTTCGTGAAAGGATCAGAATAATCTCGAAGATAGCGCCTCAATCCCACTTCCCTGTGCCTTCTTACATAATCCGCAAAGTCCATGAAGTCTTCTAGATCGGACATTTTTCCACTATTTTAAAAATCTAACACAAATTCAAACGAAAATAATAAAATAATAAACAAAAGATTGTCAAAATCTCTCGTTAAAAAGTTAAGTGAAGGTTTTTCTTTACTCAACTTTAATGTTCATTAAATGCCGTTAATGAAACATTAGCTGACTCTGAGAGGGAATTTTTTCAAATCGTTACTGAGGGACACCTTAAGTAATCATTAAACGACTCTGAGTGCGGCTGTAAGAGTCAATTCCAGCATGCTTCGAAATATAAGAAAGAATATCTATCACCTTAACGCTGGGCCAGAATGAGGACAGATGTAGCCATTTGTATGCAGGAACAACTTGTAGTTCATTGTTGTTATTGGAGCTAATGACAATAGGCTTATTTAATTTCTTCTGGTAGCCGTTTCCCACTGGGGTGCTTGAGGTACCGCAGTCGCAGATGCGATAGCTGCATCATTAGACATTTAGAAGTACCGCGGAGAAAATGTTATAGTTCTGCCAACACCACCTTGTATAAATTCGACTTGGCTCCAGTAACTGCCATACCTAAAAAAAAGCGTGAAGTTCTATGAAAGATTGATTTTGTGGCAAGTTGTACAACTCGTCGCAACGTTAATGGGCATGTTGTATAACGGCATTCTATTTTGAGTTTATTTTAGTGGTAACCACATAGCAAAAAAACATTATATGTTATATCCATCGATTGAATGCCAAATTTTTCTCCTTTTTTTATAAATCCTCCGAAATAGATTTTGTAAATCGTGTTTATGCACTGAGTTTCTACTCAAATTCATGAAATGATTTCGTGAATAGGTCTACGAGGTTAGGTAATTTTATGTTTTTATACTCCTGCTACCACATGAATATATCAATTCGTGATAAGAACATATGAATTTGCCTTGGATAGAATACAACGTTGCGCAAAGAGAAGGCGAGTAAGAGGAGATGCCGAGCAAAGGAATTTCTCTTCTTTCAACTTAAATTAATGCATTTTGCAAACAAAGGTTCGTCCGTTGCATAACGCCTTGTTTATAAAGCACGGGACAAATGGTAACTAATCACGGCGACATCGTAGGGATCTATTGATTGCATTATAAGCATTTGCATTTATTAAAAATACAAAAGATAATTATGTGAGAGTTCACTTCACTCAGTTACTTCCATTATGACCCGGTCCTAACGATGCTAGAAGGGCAAACTCATACAAGGTGTTGATACCGGATTTTCAATTGAAATTAAAAATGAATCAAAAAATTATAAATCAGTGAAATTAAATGAAATTAATGTTTAATTTCTAGCCTAACCTCCATATGTAAGTAACTCAGTCGCCAAATGCTTTGCCGTGCCGTACACATATGTATCTTTACACATCAAATTTTTCCTGAGTACTTGGTACTCACACCTTTTCTAAGAAGTTTCACTTCTATCACGTNGTCGCCAAATGCTTTGCCGTGCCGTACACATATGTATCTTTACACATCAAATTTTCTTGAGTACTTGGTACTCACACCTTTTCTAAGAAGTTTCACTTCTATCACGTGTACGGTGCTACACGCGTTTTTTTTTATCTGTTAGGTCTGTAACTCTATCGGAAAGTCAGAGTGAGAATATCAACAAGGTTATGAATCCTGTTGCTATCTTTATGTATTATTCTCCCCCTCACTGTTAAAATTGTGTGCCCGCGATTTTTTATTTTATGTTTATTATGGGCCTGTTCGAGACACGTAATAAAAGCGGCAGTACTGCCGCACTGATGATAATAAATGAAAATGAAATGAAACGTGATACTTTAATGATTCGGGCAACACTGCGGTTGTGATTGCAACTCGAACAAGCCCCTATATTTTTTTTGCAAGTTTATTACGGCGGTCTTTTCGGCTATATATTACATCTCCTGGTTTAAATGTTATGACTTGTCTATTTTTATTATGATACTGAAGTAACTTATCCTGTTTTTCCTCTATTATATTTGATGTCACGATTGAAAAATACGTCTTCAGGTTTGTATCCTGTAGAGGAGTGGATAGTCCTATTATGCTTACGAATAGCGTTAAAAATTTCTTCACCGGGCGCGGTTTTATTTTGGGCAGCTAAACTCTGAGAAAGTGCGATAAGCGTATTATGTACCCGATCAACTTGAACGTCCGACGATGATACGACATATTGGGATAACTGAATGCGTTATTTGTAGTCGATTATATAGGAATTTCATCATGTTTGCGTTGAATATACTTTCATTTTCTGTCATGAGATATTTGGCATTCGGGTAAACTTGTGTGTCTATGGATTCGTGACAGTCTATATTTGTGTCGAGTTTGCGTAAGAAACAATATTTAGATCATTGTGGAAGAATACAAGTGAGATATCTTAGGGTTGATAGATAATTGACAGGGTATTCAATATGGCGATGACAGTGTGAACAATATGGCAGCCAATAGGCATACAACACCGAATGGCCCGAAGTTGCAAAACTACGACCCGAATGAAACGCTTCGTGAAAACCCAGGGCTGCGAAGTGGTATTTTGATGGAAAATATAAAAGCCAGGATTTTGTGCAGCGCCCAATTTTAACAAAAAAGGGTTTTGTGTGCTGAAGATGAACAGAAAAAGGTTGCTGTGCTGTTTCGTTTTAAGGTTATTTTAATCTTAGCGTATCTAATTAAATATTAAAAGGAGACAAAAATTAAAGCAAAAATTTTAAAATATATGTGCATATCTGAAAATTTTAATAAAATATATATTTTCACGAAAGACAAAGAGTGAGTAAATAAAATGGGTTAAATTTAGGAGAAATATACCTATCAGATTGGGTCAGATAGTGCTTTTGCGTTACAAATAAAAATAATTGCTTCTTAAATTTTTCATAATTTTGGTGACGTATTTCTAAGCTGAGCTTGAGATCTGTGAAATAATACTTATATATGTCCATATATTGTGTTGATGATGCTCCAAATCGCTAAATAATCCTTGCAGCAATCAGCACCATTGGAAATTTTCGGAAAATATAAATAAACTAAATTAAATTTATTCAATTATTAATAAAAGAAATTGGAGACAAACGTACAATTGGGACGATGTTTTCCGCATCCGCAAACGAATGTTTGTTTGATGATTTAGGTTATTGGCCTGGCGTCTAATGAAGCATTATCGTCATGATTAATGCTCAATTTCCTTTTTTATTAACTAAATCGGTTTCTTTAACAAATGTCCATTCAAATATTTTTCTTTTTCGTTTTTCAATTTACTCCACCGCATGGCCGAGAAGCTATTTTGAGACAGAAAATAAGTATATAAAATAATTCAAAAATAAGCGATTGCTTTTTCTTAAAATTTCAAACCTTTTGTTTAAATTTGTTTCAACAAATCTAATAAAAGGTCTGAAATTTTAAGAAAAAGCAATTGTTTATTTACTATCTAATAAAAAGTCTACAATTTTAAGAAAAAGCAATTGCTTATTGATTATTCCTAAGGCTCATTTGTGTTTTCTGCATATTTTTTGGAAGCTTTAAAATCTTCACAAATATGTGATACATTTTTAAAATTAAAATATTTCCATTGTCTAAATGAAAAATGAAATTAAAAACTGTATTTTTATAAAAAAAATTAATGTATAGTAACATTTTGCGCATATGTAATTGTTACCATTTCAACAGTTAAATAAAATGTCTAACGTATGTTGTTAAGAATCAAAAGGCTGTATTGCCTTGTTTATACCGACACATAAAGCGCTTTGACCCAGTTCGCTGTGATTCAAAACGGATGCATAAATTAAATTTCAAAACGCGTTGAAATTGAAAAGTGTATTGACTTCAATTTGTTTTCAAATCGGTTTTTTGTTGCTAGCATCAGTTAGAAAATATAAAAAGATCCATCAAGCTACCTGGCTGTCTCCGGATCGAAAAACGAGAAACCAAATCGATCATGTTGTGATAGACGGAAGGCACGCTTCCAGTGTTTTAGACGTACGCACACTCCGAGGCCCAAACATCGACTCGGACCACTATCTTGTTGCAGCCAAGATACGCACCCGCCTATGTGCAGCAAAAAATGTGCGCCCAAATATGCAAGGAAAGCTTAACGTCGAAAAGCTGCAATCACAACAGACAGCCAGCGCTTTCGCTACTCGACTCTCACACCTGCTCTCAGAGAGCACTCTTCAACAGCGGCTCTGCTGGCTTGGTCATGTCGTTCGAATGGACACCGACGCTCCAGT